AATCCGGTTGTGAATAGGCTCAAATCTTTGCTTTAACTATAAACACACCTAGTGAAGCCTAGTAAAATTCTCGTCCCTCTCATGCTACACTATGTTACTGCAAATCATCAAGATTCTTATGATAATGCGTGCCTGAGTATACACAATGCGACTAACATTCTGAATTGAAAAGTGTTCTTGTCAACATCACGCTTGTGATTTATAAGAAGCTGTGTCTGAAACCTGCCGCACGGAATTCATCTATTAGCAATGCCTTGGGCTTGTTGTGTTTGAACGAGGTGATGACGGGAGTGATGCTTGGTATTTCCAGCACTGGTGGAAATATTAGTCAGAATAACATGGTGGGCTCTTGTTGGTTTCTAGAGAAGTATACTGCCTACTGACTACAGCAGAATGATTCCGAAATTTCTCTATGTCAAGAGATGATGCCAAATATTTCCATTTTAATACAAAAGTGGCACACATAACTAGCAATGTGCGGCAATCTTTTTCGTATGAAAGTAATTGTTTTGCTAATGTGCAGTGGCTAAAGTGTAGTGTACACATGTTATCTGCATTTAATATAGAGTACCCCACTTCGTATTATAATGTAAATATGTACATGTACACTGATATTTGGAACATCTCCTCTTACCGGAGTTGTAGGGGATAAATTCGCTCCGTGCTAAATGTGGGGGAAACTTGCATTATAGTATTAAAGAATGTGCTGTTGTATTAGATGTAATGAATTTGTTAATTGTCTTATTAGGCTCATGGCCATTGTATAGTGGTGCAATACACCCAGCAACCTGTATTGGCCTGGAGGGAACCTGCTCTACATCTCCTCCTGGTATGTACACATCTCGCCATCTTTATCGATAACCATATATTTGGGAGACGATGCACTGCCGTTTTTTTTTTTTATCCCTGATATATTATCTTAACTATTTGAGAGTCACCTGGAGTTATCTCGAGTGATCATCGTTACAGATGGGCATACGTACTGTAGGCTGGTTCTGGCTGACACATCCACTTTTAGTCTATGAAATGTCATCAATCATGAATTGCCCATGAGCAGCATATGATCGCCATTCTTCACCACAACGTAGTCGATTGAAAATATTGCAATTCAATTCATCTTCTCTCTTCGTCTTCTGCGTCGCATGAACTGTTCCAGATATGGCTATCTGCTTTCAGGGTACTGTGTAATGTCACGCAATTTAAATATATAATATCACAGTTAAGTGATAAATGTATTATAAACTCTAGATAATATATCATTCTTTAATAGTATACATTATAATTTTAATAGTATATATATATAATGTTGAGAGAGAGAGAGAGAGAGAGAGAGAGAGATAGAGAGAGAGAGAGAGAGAGACATACATACACACAGCTACACACAGTTCATCGCTCGTTATGTGTGGAACAGCCTGCCTGCATACTCGGCACGCTGCGAACACTGCCTCCGTCCGGTTGATGCGAACACAGATGGTCGTAATTAGACATTTAATACGGCTTTTTTTGCGTAGAGTTAGAGTTCCATCTAACCCGGTTCGTTACGAGGAGGGCACGTAAGTAAGTATAAGCGAGGGTGTGGAGCGCCGGCGATTTAAATAATGGAGGGAGAAATTGGAGCTAATGAAATAACCCAGCGAAAAGAAATTAAGCCGGACGTCAAACCAATAATTATATATATATATATATATATATATATATATATATATATTGTGTGTGTGTGTGTGTGCGCGCGTGCGAGCGTGTGTGTGTGTGCGCGAGCGTGTGTGTGTGTTGGTGCGGAAGGCAGAGATAAGAGTACCAAGATGCACACTATATGTAGCATCTAGCTACGTAATTGTTTAAATCGATCCCGTGAATGATATACTGCATATTCACACATTCTTTTATTGTATGACCATTTAAAGTGATTTCAACATTTGTAATTCTAGGTGAAATGTCTATGTGGTATAATCAATAATGATGCTCGGGTTACTGTTTCGGCATTTCATTAAACTTCGTGAACTAAATGAGCAATATCATGAGTCAAATATTATAATATTTAATTGCGCCACGAACATATAATTATACTTTCATTAAAATGTATATCCGAGCACTAATCTTTATATGGTAACATCCGTAGCATCGGAAAGAGACGGATCTAGACTGATCTAGAGCTCTCTATTCTAACTCTAAACATTCTACAGAAAGGAACTTTGGCTTGATCTTAGCAGACGCGCCCCGGGCATCAGCTAGTCGATATAACAACAACAGCGATTAATGAAACTTCTTATACACTCCCTGAGTGCAGGGTAGCCATGACATATTATACCTTAGCCCTAGACGTTGATGTTATGTTTATTCGAAATCCGCTTCATTAATCAGACGCCAACCCTAATTAATTTGACGTCAAACCTAATTAATCAGACGCCAAACCTAATTAATTCGACGGGTTCAACCATTTAAATCTATGTCACCACAAAAAACCATTTAAATGGAATTAATTACAAGGATAAGACGTATATATTTTAGAGCCATGTTTTTTCATTTCCCGGAAGCAGCGAGAAACAACCACACTCTCACACACGCACACGCACACAAATTATATATTACACTATTAAAATTATATATTATCAAGAGTTTATAATACATTTACACTTAACTGTTGATATTATATATTTATTTGGTTACATTACACAGTACCCTGAAAGAGATAGTGTCGATATCTTGAACAGTTCATGGCACGAAGAAGACAGAAGAGAGAAGAGAAGTTGAATTGCAAATTTTCATCGACTACGTGTGGTGAGAATGACGATCCATATGCTGCTCATGGGTTGCATATGATTGATTGAATTTCATATGACTAAATAGTGAGTGTGCAGCAGAATAACAGTACAGTACGTATGACCCTCTGTAACGATTGCTCACTCGAGATAACTCCAGGTGACTCTCAAATAGTTATAGATAATATAGTCAGGATAAAAAATAAAAACGCAGTGCATTTGTCTTCTCAAATTATGGTTATGATAAAGATGGCGAGATGCATGTGTACATACCCAGGAGGTAGATGTAGAGCAGGTTCCCTCCAGAGCAATACAGGTTGCTGTGGTGTATTGCTACCACTATGACAATGGCCATGAGCCTAAGACAATTAACAAATATCATTACATTAATATAACAGCAGATTCTTTATACTACATTTAAGTTTTTTTCCCACATTTTAGACACGAGGAATTTTTCCCTACAACGTGTACATAGGAGATGTTCCAAATATCAGTGTACATGTACATATTAATTGCATTATAATACGAAGTGGGGTACTCTATATTAAATGCAGATAACATGTGCACAATACACTTTAGCCACGTTATTCCTACTGCACATTAGCAAAACAATACGAAAAAGATTTATGCACATTGCTAGTTATGCGTGCCACTTTTTTATTAAAATGAAAATACTTGGCATCATCTCTTGACATAGAGAAATTTCGGAATCATTCTGCTGTTATTCAGTAGGCATATACTTGTCTCCTAGAACAACAATGGCCTACCATGTTATTCTGACTAATATTTCCACCAGTGCTGGAAATACCAAGTCATCACTCCCGATCATCCACCTTCGTCCAAACACAACAAGCCCAGGCATTGCAATAGATGAATTCCGTGCGGCAGGTTTCAGACACAGCTTCTATAAATCACAAGGTAATGTTGAAAGAACATGTTTCATTCAGAAATGTTAGTGCATTGTGTATACTAGGCACGCATTATCATAATGAATGTTCTGATGATTTCGCATAACATATGTAGCATAGTGAGGATGAATTTTTACTAGGCTTTCACTAGGTGTGTTTATAGGTTAAAGCCAAGATTTGAGCCTTCAAACTGATTTGTTAGACACCAATGCAAAAATGTACACACTGATCTGCTAATTTCAATGCCCTCTCATTTGAAATGGTATTGCAATACATGATCTTTTCATGGAGCTATTGAGTTGTATCATTGGATGTTATTCGGAACTAAAAACATTTTGTTGTTGTTATGTTGTTTTCATTGTTGTTTCGATTCTGAGTGATATATGGTGCAGCACCATTGACACTGACGTATAATGCAGCAGGAGGGGTTGACATCGGCGTTTATCAGTAGAACCAATGGCAAAGCTTCTCTGCAGTTGTTGAGAAGGTCTTAGGTGACATATGCCTGTTGCGACGTGCTCTGGCAGCTGGTTCCAGTTTAATAATTTTTTTATATAAAAAATGCATGACAAAATTGTTCTGTTGTTTTTGTTGTTGTTGTCGTCGCTGTTACTGTTGTTGTAATTGTTGCTGATTCACTTCTGTATATGATTCACCTTTTCAGGTAACAGTGGAAGGTGTTACAATTAAATACTAACACTGCGTGTATATATAGTATACAATGACAATGTGTATGGGAACTCTGTCATCACACTGTAAATCGATAGGTAAGAGATGATGCTGATGCCGTTTTACATAATATGTACTGCCTACTGCCTACTGGAACATATGCTGGAACCTGGTGATGAAATAGCTCTACCAATGTAGCGCCTTACAACTACAGCTTCTTGTAGCGGGAGCGATCGCGGAATGGGCTACACTAGTAGAATTAGTGATGACGTTCACCAAAAACTTGGAAACGTAACTCATAACACAAATATTGTACTTTATTGAAATAATGTCATTAAGTTTAACAGTGTTAACAATAACAGCAACACGTAACACAAAACTGTTACTAAAACTACAGCTGTTTCCATGAATACCTTCACGTATGAGAAAACATTACGCTCATTTAATGATGTATTCGTTTGTTAATTTAAAAATTAAGACACAAATACAAACTTTGTGATCGTATGAGTTGTGTAATTTGCGTAAATAAGCAGGAAACTTATTTCCGTGGGACTGGGAGCCGCCATACTCGTAGACGGGTTCCCCGCCTCAAAACAATAGTCACTGCGCATGTGCGAGGCAGCGATCATTGGGAAAAAGATATCTGATAGGCTAGCCTAACAATATACAAGCACGCACTATAGAAATAGAATAGAAGACTTCTATTCTATTTCTATGGCACCTCTGATGGCACGCACGCACGCACGCACGCACTCACGCACGCATGCACGTACGCACGCACGCACGCAATTTTAGCGAGTTGGTAACACGCGAACATGGACACAGCACGGAAGTTCGCGCACAGCTGCAGCGTTGTCTGCAGAGCGTTGAACAGCTCAAGTGACAAACCCCTAACGCATCTGTACGTGGCGTTAGAGACAGAACGCTTTTAGCTAGCGAGGTTCCGGTTCCGGTTCCGGTACTGGGTGCAACGTCACTTCTAGTGCTATGCAATGTTTGTAAAAGCATATATATATATATATATACAAACACATGTGATTTTACATTGTAAAACTTACAATTTACATGTTGGTTAGTGCACATGGTACTAGCAGCAGCTTTTTCTCTAGTGTGTACGTGTGCGTGTGCGTGCGCGTGCGCGTGTGTGTGCGTGCGAGTGTTGCTGTGTGAGTGTGCATTTGTGCGTGCGTGTGTATGTGTGTATTGTTTGTTGTTATGTGCTAATACTATTACCATATATGATTGATACCACTTGACATTAAACAGTTAATATCAATAGCATATAAAGAAGGAGAGCGTACAACGGTGAAATGCTGAAACCATGTTGCAGTATTAGTCGAATTAATAAACTTTCCCCGTTTTATTTTGACGATTCTTTGCAGTATTATTATCTCCTCTCCCTTTTGTTCTACCCGACTGTTGTATTGCACGTTCACTTGTACGCGTCCCAGCGTATTGTCGCTCATTGGTAATTAACATGGCATATAATATACGTGTCTGTGGTACGTTACGCCGCTAGTTCGTGTTTGCTTTGCGTTTTGCACTACCGTTACTCATTACCCGGTACCCGCTATACGTCACGCCAAGTACGCCGTTACATTTGGTGACTGGCGACCGGAAGCAACACACTGGCCACAAAACGAGAGACAGTCGCAGTACACACTGATCTCCTTTCGGCGAAAATACAAGATTTTCACCGCTCATTATCTCAGCGTAGGAGCATCGTAGGGACAAGCGGTTTGTTTTATTAACAAGGTAGGACAGCTGATCAATAATACCGCAAAGAATCGTCAAAATAAAACGGAAAAAGTTTATTAATTCGACTAATACTGCAACATAGTTTCAGCATTTCACCGTTGTACGCTCTCCTCGTTTATACGCTTTTGTTAATATATATTTAATATTCTTACATTAATAATATAGGCCTATTGTTAATCAAATGTTTATTAATGGTTAGATTCGAATTGAATTGCAGCATTTTAACCTGTGACGTTAGTAAGAACCGTGCTCGTTTGTGTGTGAGTGTGTGTGTGTGATACCCGGTGTGAACACCGTTACTTTGTCGTTTCGTCTTAGGAGTTGCGCGTGGATTCCGTTAATCCAGTGGTCGTTCCTGTCAAGAAATTATACCCGGGCCGAACATCAGGTTTGCTTGTTTGGTTGTGTGTGCGCGTACCTGCGTGTTCGTATGGGGCTCGGCAGTCATCGGGATCGGTTTCATTTAATGCTCGAACGAATTCGCCGTTGTCGAAGTATCGGAAATCCTCGTACCAGGTGGCGTTGGAGGCGAGCTCGCCTAGTTCGGTGGTGCTGTCCGTAAACATGGTGTCAGTGGTATTGCACGGCGATCCGTACAGCTGGAATTCACCCGAGTCCTTGGTGGTAGCTACAGAGATCGAAAAAAAGTTAATTAACTATCGTGCAAACACCGTGTATAAGTAATTAGGGTTTACCATGTAGGTAAGTAGGCTAGTATTTTAAAGTAGGCATAAAACGCACCAACACAGAATAAATATGAACTCAGAGCGGAGTGTTAAATTTGTCACCGCATGAGCATTAAACGTTAGTAGAAGCAGGGGGGGGGTCTATGCTAGGTTTTTCAAGTAAAAAATGTGCCATTTCCCAGATCACGGTTAATTAAAATCACAGTTCCGTTTTGAGGTTTCCGGTTGACGTCTATCCTCAAATCACTATTAATTCATCACGTATTTCTTGCTTCCCAGATGTGATCCAATCCCAGGAAAACAACCGTTCCCACCCTCACAGTTAACCTTCGCCGAGTGTCGCGCCGTAGGAATCTAACAGTTTCTCCTGATCTGTTCATCAACATCACTTGTGATGCTTCCACGGCACGGTGAAGCTGCCTTCAAAGCAGGTGCAGCAAAGAATGTGGGCGGGAAAAGGAGGGTGGCGTATGTGGAGCTAAGAAGCACCAGCCTATGTGACAGTGGCAAGCTGCGCTTATAACAGGTGAAGGATGTGGGCGGAGGGAGGAAACGTTACATGCGTGGAGCATCAGGCGTGAAGCATCAGGCTTTGTGACAGCGGCAAGCTGTGCTTACGGTAGTAGTAGTCGTGCGCCGTCTTCAGCAGATCTATCATGATCCACCTGTTTTCGTACAGCTTCTGATCAAACGTCAGCAGGCGATTGCTCGGCGTCACACCGGCGTTGCAATCAGCACCCGTATCTCTGACTTGGCCGTCCCTAGATGTAAGCATATACCAGTAGGTTAGTGCTTCGACGAGGGAGTCGACAAGTATTGAGCGCGCCATCTTGAAATTTCTGCGTTCCGCGGTGAAAGCATTGTCTAAGATAACAGCATACCGGCAAAGGTACTTGTAGTCGCTTTTAATCAAATTCTTTGCCCAATCATCTTGGTTTCTGCCATCGACGTTCTCGTCGACTGTCGTGTCCTTGAGGAAAGCTACATCGCACGCATCCTCGAACACACGCAACTCTCTCACACACACACACACACTTACACACACGCGCGCGCACACACGCAACACACACACACACACACACACACACACACACACACACACACATGCGCGCACACCCACGCACATACTTACACGGCACGCGCTCACGCTCACATACACACGCACACCCACACCCACACACGCGTTTGCACGCACGCACTTACGAACGCTCGCGCACGCACGCAATGTACTGCTTCGCAGGAGTAATATTGAATACACGTGATATGCAGTTTCATTTTCCCCTATTTATCTCAAGCATATTATCATACTGCAACTATCGTATACAGATTAAAACCCACAAGTCTTATTATAATTGACATGCCATAACGATTTAATATCGTGTTGCCGTTTGTCTTCTATTGCGGTAAAGTAAAATAAGCAAGAATAATAAAATAAATTGGATAAAATTTCTACATCGTACCACGGCGGATTTTGCCGCTTCTTCAGCGATTTTAACACGCAAACGCACAGCTCGATCAATTCTTGTCCGGATATGAACATCAAATAAACCGATCTGAGTAACTATCAAAGTAAACTTCATCGTGTAAGAAAGTTGCGGAACACATGATGCGTTAAGAGTATTCCGTTTTTACGCGAAACCCCGCAATATGTGTTTTTAAAATTAATTTCTGACCTTGGTAGATCTTGCCTTTTTAAATACAGCCCTGGAGACAAAATATGTTGCAAGACGGGCTATACGGACAAAGTGGTAAACGTCGCTGCATGGTACCACCCCTTCGTATGTACTCCAAGTACAGTACAGAGGCACGTATTTACTGTTCGAACCCGTAAACGAAGCTGAATGGCTGGATAATGTTTTGCAAATGCCTTCTAGCTTACCCGAAGGTTAATGCCTGAGTCACATCTAATAGCATATAGGTAGTATATATACAGTGAGCGTATTATATACTAGGAATGTCGCTCGTATATTTCTACGCCCGCGCCTTAGTGCCTGGCAACCTACGTCTGCACGCGGCGCAACCGCTTACGGGCAAGTGGACATATTTTACCTTTACCAAAGCCACGCCCACCGTCGTGGACCGTTAATTACTGTGTGAACGCGCCCGCAGTCTGTGACTACGTGTCGCACGCTCACGCGGCAGCTTGCGACCCAGAAATGTGAGCCGTCCTGATTTTTATGATCGCATTTTTATCGCGACCTATAAAAATAAAGATGGCGCTGGCGTCGCAGAAGCAGATTGGTTATAGGCTGCCAAAATTTGCGCGTACATGGGAATGCGGGAATGGGGGTGCTACGTAACGAAATTTAAACTATTATTAGTGTTCATATTACTTCACCACGGCAATCAAGTTAGTGCCGCGTGCTCCCAATTTTACTCGTCTATTTGGAAGTTGCGACGACTCGTTATAGGGACAAACCAGTCAAAGTGATACCAGCCTACAATTCATATTCTTTTTCTATCGTAGGATGCCTATACACGTGTATGAGCGAGAATACTAGTCTTCGCTCCTATTTCTTCCCGGTGACTTTTTAACGTAACACGCATATCCATGTTTCGTGTGTGCGTGCGCTATAACCGAAACATTGGCGTTTCGCTAATAAAAACAGGTTTAGCTAGCTTTGGCGCTACCCCCGGTGAGTCCAAATGATATGCCTCCGCGAATTCGCCTAAGAACGGATGGGTTTTTGAACCAGTCAAGGACGGATGTTATATAGCGTACGTGTCGAAGCGCCGCGAGACGGGAACGTGCGACGTCGCGTTAACCTGCGCTGCGTTACGCGACCGTCAACATTCACCACGGTCGGGGGCGTGTGCGCGACAGTCTATACATGGAGGCAGCATTTAAGGTCTGCTTGACCTGTCCTGGCCCTCCTAGTTTGTGTCGCGCGTGCACACACACACACACACATACACATACACACACACGGCACCCATGCAGTGCTGTATGAGATTGTGCCACTTGTCTCTCTCGTGGTTGAATGCGACGCGACTTGCTGACAGCATTGCAGACACTACCGGAAAAACGTGGCCGTGGAAGGTTGTCCCGTGCTGCGGCGCTCCCCGCCTCCTCCACAGCTGGCGAGACTGCACGTAGCTCACTCATCCACTCCCAGGACGAAGCCATGGAGTCCAACACAGTGGCGGTAAGCTGAAGTAACTGTATAGAGATTACCGATAGAAATTAGCATGCCGTCGTCGTTGACACGATTAGGAGGACACGAAACTATACCGGTGTTAATTTATCAGGTTAATTAAGTTTCACCGCGGTAGCGGTACATTAGAAACGGTTCCGATTAGAAAACGAATTTATAGCTGCTTAGATTAAGGTAAATTATATACAGGTTCGTAACTTATCTGTGAAGGGTTTCTAGTTACAATTCTAAAAATTAAAGCCCTTCTGAATATATGCTGCGCATCCGTTAATATTGACACGGTCATTAATTTCATCTTGATGTTTTGTATATAGGCGAAGAAGGGACGAGTAAGATAACTTCAAAGAACGATCATGGAGATATGAACTTACAGTACCTATATAACGTAAACGAAATGCGAGTTACAATTGTGATTGCTCAATCAATCAACCGATGTATTTAATCAAAAATATATTACATCTATTGATTTTTATTCGTTTATTCTTTTTCTTATATAGGAGGACGACGAATGCTCCTGGTTCTACTATAGAGAGGATTTCTGGCTTTGATTGTCCAAACGCAATTCTTGTAGCAATTACAAACCCGAGAACTGTGTTCGGACATCAGTGCCTGAAATGCGAAATCAACGTAACTCTACGGTGCTGACATCTATAGCTGTGAGACGATGACAATACTGAATGGAATGAAGAGTGCACACAGCAACCTGGAGAATAAGCAAACTCGTGTCCCAGACAATGGACGTTATGGGTTCACTCCACGTGAAAGAGATACTTTGCAGAATAGACTCAAGCATCATGTAAGAGCTGCTCAATAGAATGCCATGCGACGATTCTTAAATGGAAGTTTTATAGTTTAAACTCAAAATTACGATGTTCGGTTACGGAGTTCTAATAAGGTAAAATAACAGCACAGAGCGCGTGTGCAGCTATGTCTGATACTCTCATAATTATCTCGCGTAATTATCTTAATTGTATGTTACTCTCTGACACGTTCCCTCTCACACAAGCGCATATGCGCGCTCTCTCTCTCTCTATCTCTCTATCTCTATATATATCTCTCTCTCTATCTCTCTCTCTCTCTCTCTCTCTCTCTCTCTCTCTCTCTCTCTCTCTC